TGGATAGAGCAGGACTATCAGGTCCTGTGGGGGTGTGTCGAGACGCGGTGAGAGCCTTCACTAGTATTCACGGTGAATCAGGCTTCCCGTGCTCTGATTGGCCAGGCACTGATTAGTCAGCTGCTCCGTGCGCGCACCATAGATATTCTCCCTTCTCCCGTAGCTCCAATACAACAAGTTCACGCACGTTTCTCCACCTTCATCAATTTCAATACCTCACAGCTTTAACGCCACCCCGTAACTGCCTTATAGGGGGTGACTTAAACGCCCGCCATGAACTTTTTGAGCCCGGCTCCACGTCGGCCAATAGGGGGGCAGAGATCGCCCGCTGGGCCACTCAGAACGACATACCCTACATCGGCGAGGCAGGTAACCCAACACATCGGGCGGGACACGTGCTAGACGTATCCTTCTCAAATATACCCTTCGCTAGAACGACAGTCCGCGAAGATATGTATACAGGGTCAGACCATTTCACCCTAGTGACTGTCCTTCCAAGCCGAGGGAGAGCGGTGCTAGAACAGCATCACTACCGGGTCCACGAGAGAAACATAGATAGGTTTGCCGGGCTAGTTCAACTCTACACAGTAGGCGTACAGCCAATTAGCAATAGCGCCCCAGCGGACGTAATCGACGCAAGCATAGCTAGAATCACCCAAGCTATAGGAGATGCAATGCACGCGGCGGGAACACCAAATAGAGAAAAAGGCCACTCCGCCCCATGGTGGACAGAGGACTGTAGAGTGGCGTATAAGCGGCATATCCAGGAAAAGTCGGACTATGGCCAATCCCCCTCAGAAGCCACCCGTGCGTTCCTAGCTACGGTACGAAAAGCCAAGAGAACGTACTGGCAGCAGCGCATAGACGGCTGTAATAACGACAAAGATCTATACAAGCTAGTAGGCTGGCATAAACTATCATTCGACCAACGGGACACCCCACTTGTAATCGAAGGTAGGACAATCACAGCACCACTCGAGAAAGCTGAGGCACTTAGAGAGGCAATCCTCGACCGTTTTTCGGCGGAGGACGACCTCCTAGAACCACCGCCTCTTGACAACGACCCGCAAACCACGCCACTACCATGGGACACATACATATCGATGGAGGAGACTGAACGCTACGTGATTGGAGTATCTAGCACCTCCCCAGGACCCGATCAGGTGACCGTCCGACTCCTAAAGGCATGCTGGGAACACATTAGACACCTAGTGCTAGGCATCTACCGGGCGTGCATGGAACAAGGCCACTACCCAGCCGCCTGGAAGACGGTAGAAGTGGCCATGATACCCAAAGTCGGGAAGAAGGATAAGTCCTCACCCAGATCAATGAGACCAATTGCCCTATCGTCCTGTCTAGGGAAGGGACTCGAGCGTATCATAGCAAGGCGCATAGCACACACAGCTATGGCTTTTGACATCCTAAGCCCACAGCACGGTGGAGCGCTGCCAAAACGCTCTGCGATGGACCTGGCGACCGCATTCACACACGACGTGGAGATGGCTTGGTCAAGACACGAGCATGTCTCTATGCTCACGTTAGACGTCCAAGGGGCGTTTGACGCGCTACTGAAAAACAGGCTACTACACCGAATGCGGCAACAAGGGTGGCCACCCCTACTCCGGAAATTTATCCAGAACTTCCTGTCGGAAAGGAGGGTGCGAGTACGCCTAGGCAATGTCACTACACCTGTACATCGAGTGGCCTGCGGCACCCCGCAGGGATCGCCGCTATCACCGGTCCTATACACCCTATACCTAGCTGAACTACTCAACCAGGACCGAAAACTCCGGTTCGGGTATGCCGACGACATCAACCTATACCGGGTCTCCCACTCTTTAGACGAGAACGTCGCACTGCTAGCAGAGGACCTCAAATCTATCAATGAATGGGGAGCTGCGAACAAGATCACGTTTGCACCAGAGAAACGGGAGCTGATCCACCTCACGCGCCAGAAAGGACTACATGCGCCGCCAATCCAATTGGAAGATCAAACAATTCACCCTATAGCCCCTGCGCAGGGGGGAAGCCAGACAGCGCTGCGCTGGCTTGGGGTGTGGTTTGATAGGGGACTAACTTTCAAGAAGCACGTCGCAGAAAGGGCGGCGCAAGCTAGGAAAGTAGCGAACCATCTCCGGAGCCTCGCCAACACAGCCCACGGCCCTCCAGCAGGATCGCTACGCAAGGCAGCCATAACATGTATCCTGCCCATACTACTATACGGAGCCGAAACATGGTACGAGGGCAGGACGAAGAACCCACGAATTGCAAGGGTTTCCCGTAAACCCACGGTCAGCACTAGGGTAGGCTGGCACCTAACCACGATAGATCAGGCACTAATAGCAGCCACGAAGGCAATCCTCCCTGCGTGGAGGACAACACCAAACGCAGTACTGCTAAGAGAAGCTGCGATGCCGTCGGCACAGGTGGCGCTAGAGGAGGCCAAGCTCCGCTTTGCAGTTCACCTACGCACAATAGACGACAAGCACCCACTTACTAATAGAACTACACTGCCACTAGTCATACGAGGACGCGCAGCGGGCAACCGACGGATACCAAGATCGAAGGTTCAGCGCGTAGCACAACTGCTACCCGCCACACCCCGAAACGTCCTAGCCAGCCCTCACTTTCAGACGGGTCGAGGCAGGATCCAACGCAAGGGCAAGGAAAGGACATTGCTGCCCAGAATTTCACCATCTGGTGGGAGTCTCTTGGACAAGAGACAATCACTGTCTTCTCAGACGGGTCTGAACAACAAATCAACGGTACAAGGGTGGTCACTTACGGGTACGCTATATACCAGGGCCAGGCCGCCGTGGCGACTGGACAAGGCTCACTAAATGCCCTTAGCCACGTCTTCGATGCGGAGGCTATAGGCGCGTGCAGAGGACTCAAACACGCACTACAACTCTCACTGCCTAGCCAGAGGGAGATCGTACTTTGCATAGACAGCACTTCGGTAATATGGGGCATACGCGGAACCGCCCCTACCTCCTCCCAATGGGCGTTCCTCCAAATCCATGGAGCTATGGAGGCCTACAACGTGAAAACGCGGTGGGCGCCGGGACACATGAAGATTGTTGGAAACGAGCTCGCCGACCAGCTGGCTGACAGCGAGGCCAAAGACCCGCACCAGCCATACGGCATGGCCGCCTCCCCCACAAGATCCGGTATACGAACAGTAGGCCGCCGCCTCCTCGAACATACAAGGGACACTTGGTGGCAGGATAAGAGCAGTAGGCTATCAGCATGGTACACGCAATGGCAGCTGCCATACGATACTAGGCGCACGCCCGCAGCGCTATGGCTACCCCGAAGGATACTCGCGAAAGTCCTTATGATACGCTCAACGCATGGCGACTTTGAATGGTACCACCGAAAATTCAACCACGAGGATACCTCGAAATGCCTATGCGGCAGGCCCAAGACGCCAGAACACCTAGTGTTCTGCAAGAGAGCCACAACACACTTCAAGAAGTGGCCTCTACGCCCCATCGTGCCCCCTCGCACAAGACAGGAAGGCCTAGCGTACCTCGCGCAATTAATAGACCAGCCACAAGAGTTCGAGACCTTCGTTAAGGTAACGAACTCCTTCTATAACGAGTGATTTCTATTTTTGAATTTCACAAAGACCCGCTGAATTCCTTGGCATTATTCAGTGTAGGATTCGCGGCAGAACGCCGCATAGATGCCACAACCCACACGCTCTCTTTCAAACTTTTCATTATATCTCAAATTGCCTCTTGTTACTTTTTCGTTTCTCTCTCTAAAAAGCAGTCATTGTACTGCATCGATCAAAGGCGCAAGCCACGAAATACTAGAATATTGTAGGAAAACGGCTTCAAATGGCGGGAGTCCTTTTCACGAACATGTATATAGGCAGGACATCACTCCCCTTAGATACAAAACACCTAGGAATAGGTTCCACGAGGCAAGTGCGACAGCACTATAAGACCACGGCGGGACCCGCCCGAATACCCTATGGGAGGTTACAGATAGGGCGTTAAACCATAATCAACATCAACATCTGCGTTGCGAAATCCAGTTCAAACAAGTTCATTATGTACGCTAAAGGCAGCCCTGCCTACGTATATTTACTACGTATACGGTATAGGTATAGTTCCTTAACTACTTACTTGTATTGTCATTATAACAAACTACGTTATAAAAATCTATATTTTTTGTGTTTGCCAGGTAGAGGCATGTTACCTGTTTGGACTTTTTGGATTTGTAATACCCCCAACTCATGACTAGAAAATTCATGAAACTCTATTATTAAGCATCGACATCACTTATATATACAATCTCAAAGTTTCCTACTCATACTACATCAATCTCGCAGTAGTAGTAGAGATCCACGGAACGATAAAAGAACGTGACAAACTTACCAATAAATTCGCTGAAGTCATGCTCAAAATATTGGACGATAAGACGGGCGCGAAGAGAAAGCATTGGGGAATCGGGACGAGAAATAGAGACAAATGGGGCATTAGGACCATGCATAAGCGGGGCCCTTATTACCAAGGGCAGAAAAATGCCAACGTGGGCAGGGGCAGAGGGGGATAAAACCCTTGCATGCGATACATGCCTAAAAAAACGACGCCCATGTATGCGCTTTCTCAAGCCCACGGTTGAAGAGCTGCATACATTAGCTTGGTGTCCCCTCCTAGATAGTATCAGAAAGGACAAACAGCCTGGAGATATAGGTTTCTGGGTCGAGGATTCAGCCTACGCGTGCAATCGGAGTGCCAATTTCGTAGGAGAAAAGTAATGTGTGCCTTGTTGTGCCAAGGCTATGAAGTCGCGCTAGCGCTTGTTTGCCCTACAGTCGACTCATCCTCACGTGCAGAGTCTGGTGTTGCCTACAGCTCTTAGCTGCGGGATTGCTTAGCTTATAAGGCTCTTCTCGATACCTCCATACCTTCTACCTTTTGCCATCAACACAACACCAAGTGGGCATAAGTAAGTCGCCACTACTACCATGATGTGGAACAAAGCTAATGCCTATGCTAGAGATGGAGCCAAACGACCCCGGAACCGATTCCAACCCTCTGCCAGTTGAGCTACCAGAGTACCTGTCACTGGAAGTTCTGTCCTTGGAGTATCGCAAGCCGACTGAGTCTTCCCTGAGTGAGGCGCCCTCTGCTACCTGTACCCAGACGTTTCCATTCATGTGTCTCCCTAAGGATGTACGTCTATGCGTGTACGATCAGATCGCCTCCGAACCTATTTACCACACCCTGCCCGGACCTTATGCTGGTGTCCCGTACGCGCGTTCCGATATGTCGATGCTACGCTGCAGCCGGGAAGTATACATGGAAGCAAGGTGCATCCTACAGCAGGGGGCTAAGGAGCAACCAAACACTCTTACAGTACAGCTAGCAGGTCGCCTAGACAGCAGCAACGACAGACAGGCCGTCCAGTACGTCGACTGAGTGTTGTTGCTGATCTATCGGGTGGTGCATCTTCTCCAAATTCCTGCATTTTATGACCTATCTGTGGATGAAGCCATCCGCTACGCGAGTAATTTTCTCACCAGTCTGGCTCAATTTTATGTTAACAGATCGGGCCGTGGAGACAGATCAGCCCTCTTCAATGGCCAGCAGCACAGCTTCTGTGAATATACACTCCACACGTGTCGTAGCCTTGTGGCTGGCGGCGACATGACTGTCTACATCCTGCTCAACAACTGGGTCCTGGATCCTATCGAAGGACAGTGGAACGTACTTGCGCATATAGTACAATTGCTTGGCCGCGATTGCACGGGCACCGTGACCCTGCAATTTCTAGCGCCTTGCCACAAGGTTGATCACTATCGCGCAGCCTTTGTAGCAGCCTGGTCGCCTGATTACATAGCGCCCGCCCGGTGGTCCGTCGACGTAGTTCAAGAGGCGTATGTGCCGCTGTAGCGAGGGGCGTTCTTGAACGGCCTATACGCTGATGAAAACCTAAGAAAGCACGAATGGCCAGGATATCAAAGGGGAAAAGGCACGGCATGGAAGATCTGGAGTCACTAGCCTAAGGGCGCCAAGTCACTGATACTGCTGTGAGAGATTATGCAAGAATGACTGGACAGGAGGGTAGCAGGTCGTACAAAGTTCATACCAAATACAACATGCTTGCATTGAAACTCCATGATTGTCATGATACCCGTGTCGTTACCTACCTGTACCCAAAACTATTGGCGTATATGACTCAGCCCACATGTTACTGTAAGGTAAGAGGTAAGAGTGAAAAGTCGGTAGAGCTCTCGTCAAAATCAGGCAATCGATGGCTGTTCAGTCTGGAACGCCAATGATACCATGGTACTGTAGAGGAGATATATATCAGCGCGCGCACACAAATATCTCCATCTCCTATGTGTGTGCTAGCCAAAGAGCCAGACGAAAATTTTCCAGTGAGATCACTTACGAACAGCTTTCACCAAAAGGACGACAAAAGCAAGTTTGGGAGGACTGTGTATAGACTTCGGAAGCTTGAAGCTCTTGCTTTAGAGAAGACGGTACAAGCAGCTAGGATTGAGGCACAATCGGCGGTGATGGTGGTGCAGGCAGAAGCACAGAGAGCGGAAGCTGCGAGGATCCGCGCAGATGCGGCAAGAACCGTTGAGGAAGCTGTAAACATCTGCCTCCAGTATGCTAAGCAGAATTTGGAGTCATGGGCGTCGCAGCAAAAGCGCACATAGATAAAGACAACCTAAGAACGAAAGGAAAGATGAGCAAATGAACTATAATATCACTCTGAACCCGCCGATATTTCTACATGTCTGGAACCTCGCATTTCCGTGTCTTGAACCTCGTATATTCATGTCTTTAGCCTCCTTATCACCACATAGCCTTCTCTACTACAATACAACACGAGATCGTTCCTCTATCCTTCGTAAACGCCTCTTTTGCAATATTGCGATAGCAACATTCATCTTTCCATGGAGGTCTGAATCAGAGTCTGAGTCTTGGTGGCTGTCTTCAAGTTCTTGTAGACGGTTCAGCTTTTCCCCCAGTGCTAGCTCTTGAGGGTCTTGTACAGTACCATCTTCTTGGATATTGTTGCTGGAGCAACTGTGCAATTTCTTTGTCAAGATCCTCAATTTCCTTGCGTAACACGGCAACTGGCCGGGGACCACCTGTACCAGCGATCAAAGGGCCTTCGAACTGCCGCTTCAGTACAGCGAGCTCTGTTGCCAGATTTTGACGATATGGTGTATAGTCTTCACGCCACCTTGCACACCTGCCATACTTGTTGTCGTTCATCTGCAGGGATGTGGGAGAGCAGCGAACTGGTTGTTTGTACGCCTCCCTGGTATACGCCAAATCCACCGCCGGTCTCGTGCTGTCTGCGATGACGCTAGTAAGGGGCTCGGCAATGCGGCTCTCATGCTCTACCAAGAAGCACACAGGGTGCGACTCAAAGCGGTATTTCCCGTCTTCGACCGCCACGCGGAACGCCGCTTGAACCATGTGGTGGAACCAACTAGTGTCGACCGTGACATGCTGTTGTAGGCACCGCGTAACGGACAAAGCATAACCAACGTACTTGAAAGATTTGGGGAAGGGCTTGTCGAGCTGGTCGTCGGGGAGTTGCCCAATGCGGTCATTCAGCGCAGTGCAGAAGGTCATAACCTGCATAGCCCGCTGCTGTGACCCCTCGAGACACCAATGATGGCCATTTTGGATGTCTTTAGCGCAACTCTTGGTAGTCGCTCGTATGTTATCAAGTTCTGATGCCGCTACGAAAGACCTAAACTTGCCGGATACATAGTCTAGAAGCCGCTTGGTAACCTTCTTGAACTCGTTGGGTGTCGGGGCATGGCCTTCTGGGTTTACCAGGTGACGAATGTATATAGCTGGCGCGGACTTTTGATTTGATCACATGCTCCAGGGTGAAGTGCCGTCCGTCAACTGATATTGTATCTCGGGCTCTTGTCTACTCGCGTGGCATAGATTACCGCCAACGATAGCTTCCAAGGTCTTTTGCGGAATGGAAGCAAGAATCTAGGTAACATTAGCTTTTCTTCTCATGACAGTGTGTAGACCGCACTCACCTCAACCGCCGCGACGCGAAAATCCGGCCCATCCATACTCCTCGCCACTACGTGGCGGTCGCCAACCTCCTCGTGATAGACGGCAATTGTCACGGCCATAAGGCCGAACCCGAGTTCTTTTGCGTAGTTGATGCGGGGTCGCCGAGCACGCGCTGTGGTTTCGTTTTTTGGTCAGGAGTGAGGGGCAAGATGGTGATTTTAGCCATGGTAGTGTTGAGCTGCTGTATCTCCCTACGCGGTATCTTCGGGTGGATGGGGTCTTCTTCAATAGGCGGCGAGCTTGACCGCGGTTTGAATGCCGTCTGTGTTGTCGGGGAAGTGTCACGCTGCTGCAGGAGGTCAGCCATTCGGAATGATGGAGCTCCGGCCCGCTGATTGCGCGAGCTGTAGGTCTTTTTTTTGCCCATGCTTGGTGGCATGTTAGTAGATGGTGCGTTGGCACTGAACAGAAGTGGCACGTCATGGTATTACTCGCACCTGCCCGCAACTACATGATTATCTAAGCCCTACCCACCCACGCATCCAGCATGTCTGCATGCTCTGATATTTGTCTTTGAGCTTGCCCATTCTCTCGCGCAACTGTATGGCTACAATTCTGACTAGATTGAGTCTTGCCTGGAGGGTCTTGATGCAGTGCTGGTCTTGATTTGCATTTGACTGCAAGGCGGCAACATCCACACGATATCGCTCTAGGAGCTTCCTGCCGAGATCCTCGGCCATCTGCATATGCCTCTGCAATTCAGAAACGGTATGCTCGAGCCTGGCAATATCGGCCGTGTTTTGTTGCAATTCTTGATCTTGTGGCTTGGCAGTCTTTCTCCAAAAATGCAGGCTATGCTTTTGTTTACTTGCAGTCTATACAGATGTTACAAAGAAAAAGTTTTCGTGTCCTTCAAGGATAAGGACTAACTAACTGAATAACCAAACAACCAAAGCACATTCAAGCTGTCTGCTTGACGGCACCCGCCTATCACGCTTTTTCACGGTGCTCAAGTGGTTGATGATTGCGCCATGAAAAGTCCCTTGTCGCGCAAAATAGTACTTTTGGGACTTAAACAAGGATAAACCAAGAAATCAAGTTGCTTCAGTAAAGATAAGAAGACAAAAAACTCAAATAATCGGAAGGGTATACGCAGAAAGATAAGGCCGTCTCTTTACTTAGTCACGTCCATACTGACTTCCATGTTGAATTTCTTGATCCAGTGGTAAATCTGCTCACGCATACATAAATTGGCAATCGTTGTCTCGATCTTCTCCAACAGTGGAGCCTTTTCGTTGTCGCCGACTGCCACCAGATTTTCATCGTTGTCCAGGTACCAAACACCGTAATTCTGCGTCTCGTCGCCGGCTTGCCTCTTTGACTTGACCTCGATCTCGTGGTTGGCGTTCCGGCGCATTCTGCCCAACATGTGTCCAAGGCTCCAGTCTATTAGGAGAAACCCCTCGTCGGTATCTTCGAATTCTTTGCTCGCGATGATTTCATCTATTAGGGCATCGGTAGGGAGGCGATCTATGGGTAAAGGTGCACCTGTCGACCCGGAAGCCCGTTCTATACCAGGTGTTACCTCGTCACTGTACGCAAATGCGGCGTAGTGTACCCGCTCATATTTGAGAGTAAAGAGACGTTGACGGCGCGCCTTCTACGCCAGTGGCGCAGCGATAACAGACGATCCCTCTCGATTGCTGGTTTGCGACTGAGAGTTAGATGCAATGTTGTCATCCTTGGGGCTGCCGGCAACGGGCTCTGAGGTAGCGCTCTTTCCCGTGCGTTGTCGCTTTGCTGTGCCCTCTTGCGCCGCTGCTTGCCGCTTCCTCGCACCGGTGTTGCTTGCCTTCACTTTACCTCTGTGTGTGCTCTTGAATGCACTCTTTCCTCGGCCATTAGTCGATTTATCGACTGTTTTTGCCGCCTTGTCTTTGATCTTTTTGGCCTTCGCAGGCTGCTCATTTGTCTTGAATCGGATGTCGTACAGTAAGCTTTCTAAGCGACCTAGTCTGTCCTCCTTGGCTGACGACATCTCTTTTCCGGTACCTACTGGGTCAGTGACTTTCGGAGCGTTGGTTTTCAGGTCATCTGTCTCTGGGTCTCCGGTCGAGTTGATCCACTCGATCCAATCGGCCGCTACAATCCATGACCTCTCAGGGTCGAGATAATCTGGTATTGCGCCAACGTTGTCTAGATGCCCGATCATCTTGTCGACTTGGCGATATATCTGGTCGCTCGTGGGGTTGTTTGGCAGGCCGAATGGCTGTTCGACTCGTCGCGCGCGGAAGTTTCGCATTCGCTTTGCTTCTGGGGTACGGTCACTGTCGGGTCGCTATCGGCTTGCACCTTCAAGTGGTCGAACTTTATTTGAAGCTCGTCGCCTTTGTGGATTCTCTTGTGTAGCAGTAAATTTACAGCTGGTCTTCCCTTAACTGTCTTCATCCCAGACAGATCGGCGCCGTTCGTAGCTGTATGATTCACGGGCATTTTGGTGAGGGCGGACTTCAGTAGCTGTTTAGCGACAGCCGTAGGCACCTCCTGGTGGACTTTGGTGAATTCTTCTCCAGGCTTCCAGGTAACGTGGTCTCCGTTCAACTGGTTATCGTATTCCGATACGGGTATCGCGGTTGCCTGTTCGCCGGGCTTTGACGTGTACAGTCTCCATTCTCACCCTTGATGGTGGTGCCAACTACCAAGTTGAGGATAAGCGACGTCTTTGGGTGAAAGCAGGTCGCATGTGTCGCAGTACATAGCCAAGCGGCCTGTTCTACTGTTCCGGGGTCAAGCTGTTTCGCGCTAGCGATAAAGGTCTCGGCCGGCGAAAAAGGCGATCGTCCTCGATACGTCTTCTTGGGTCGCTTGCAAGATGAGGTAGGTTTCAGCCTTGGCCCGTCGTGATCGGATGTATCCGAGTGTGTTATCACTCAGAACCCCGACCTTGCTCTGCCGTTTTTTGTGTCTGTACCGTCTGTTGCGCCGGCTTTGGTTTTGGAGGCGACCTTCGCAATCGACTCTTTCTTCTTCGGATCTGGCGCCAATGGTAGCTGTTGGTGGCGCGGAGGTGGCTGCACTGGAAGCGTGATGGGATGCTATCCTGAAAGATCGGTGTTGGTGTTGGAAGTGTAAGTACCCTCAGCCACTGTTGTGTTTCAGTACTAGCGTACCTTCTCTATCGGTTGCGCCTCGTTTCTGTGCTCCAATGCGTGCATAACCAACTTCTTAGACATCCCATATGACTTGATGTTTGCGCCAATTGATGACTGAATTCTGCGGGCCATGGTATTCAGCACCTCGTCCTTCATTGTGCGTACAAAATCCGCTGCTTTGCATCCTTCCCAGGCGCCAACTGGCAGTCCGATATACACGTTGCCGGATTCGTCTGACCATGTTGCTTGACAAGCTATGCGGCTGAAAAGCGCAGATGCTGTAGTCATGGAAGCCTCAGTGTCGGATACCATTTCTGCGCCGCAGCGAGGACAGCCTGGCGTTTATTCTGGTAATTCACAACCTCATATTCAAGTGCGGCTATGAGCTGCTGTAACTGCTCACATGTGTCTTAGGTGTTGTCTTGTACTCCGATGGGTGCGGCAACAGTCCGGTCGAATGAATAAGTTCCACTTCTTTCGCACTGTCGACGGTTTGTCGAATTGCTTGCGAGCGGCGGATGAGTGGACGCGCCTAGGTGACATAGAATACTTGACAGTTACAGTATTGGTAGACGTCGGTATTCTGTTTCTGATAGAAATGCTTGGCGCCTACAGTGTTCGTTTGACTCGAGTATGTCAAGTATTTCATGTCACCCAGGTGCCGTCAAGTGTGTCGACGGAAGGCGTCGTGTTGAGGTTTTCACCTGCATGCTTGCCAAGTATTGACATGTTGTGTTGATTGCGGTGCACCTGATGGTATTGTATGCTTGTAGCTCTTTCTGAAAATTGAGGTTGTGGGTGTAGGAGGGATGGTCATTGTGAGTGTGTGAGGTGTTTATATGGCAATAATACCACCTGAAGGTGAGAGACGCCCGCCGCCCGTCTGCTGCCTGCCGCCCTTCCAGACTCCGCAACAATCAATCGGATCGGCATGATTGATTCCTATCTAGGTTAAAGGCTGCCTAATGAAGTAATTCTTTAACCTATATAGGAATCAATCATGTCAATCGATTGATTGTTGCGGAGTCTGCGCCCTTCTGCCCCAGTTGAGAGTCGTAAGGGCGGTAAGGAGGGCGGTGAGAACAGTGACAGCGGTATGTGAGCAGACTTTCGATATTTGAGCTGATGGAAGACTCTCGAACGATATTGTGAATTGGTTTGTCACGTTATAAGATACAATCTCGATATTCTATAATATCGTCTTCTCAAATTTCGTATATAAGATAGATAGTATCAACGTAGCTAGTAATACCCATATAACCTACTGTTTTTTAACTTGGGGGGGAAATTTAAATAAAATACTAAGCTATAGTAATAAAAGCCCGAGGCATAGGAAATTGCCATAGGAAGAACCGTTGCAGATTTAGAACACAAACAGTAGAAGGAGACTAACGGTCTGTAGAACGAAGAGGGCGAAGCCGAAATAGTAGAGATCGCCGAAGATCTTGCTCCTATGGAAGCCCCTTCCAGATTGGGTGCTCTTGTTCTCTAAGGCACAATGAGAAGTTGCCAAAGCCTCAGTTACCATTGCCATGTGCATCGGCAAAGGGGAAGTGCTGAACATGTAACAACAACTGCTATACCTGAGCTCTTCCACTATCGCCTTATCACCTGCAATATATCCACCGCAAAGGCCGAGAGCGCTTCGGTAGGATCCAGAGATCAAGATTCGGATAGAAAGCTCTTCCAATGGCTTGCTCACGTTTACAGCGGGTCCCAATGATATTTTCGAAGGCACGTTGGTTGGCTGACGTCCATCGTCGTTGTCAATAAGCAGAGTGACGTTATTCTTGTTTTTTCGCTGTGCTGTTGCAAGTCTGGCAGTGAGACCGCACAAATCGGTGCCAACGCCGCCACCCGGTCGAATGGAGACGTAAACCGTATTATAGACGCGTGCATCCCCATCTGCTGCCCTTAATAGCATGACTAACATTTCGAGCCCAGTATATGTTATAACAGTAGTTCCACAACTCCTTGAAGCAACGCGGAGTCCGTCTTTCACCGCGGAAGGTGCGTCTACAGGAACGAGAAAGTTGTGTTGGCTGTAGCTGATGATCGGCCGACATAGAGCAGCGACGGTAGACATAAGACCGAGTCCACTGTCAGCGTAAGTGATCGCGGCTGGCTGCCCGAGAATCACCGCAGTAAGGCTCTCTGCATCTAGATGAGGTAAGAATGTACCCAGAATAAAACGAGACGAGCCGGCTCCGAGACCATGTTTTTTGAGAGCTGCGTAGCCGGCCTGGACAATATTTTGGGGATGCCTTTCTTTTGCCATATGGCTCCCCGCTGCTTTGGCAATCTGGCTGTCCAACAAACAGGTCATTTCTTGCAAAGCTCGAGCGGTTTCTTCCTCCAGGATGGAGTCCCTAGACGTGATGGATTTGAAAAGGCGGCGTGTATTCTTGGAGGGTCTTGAAATCCCTATTTTATGGCACGCCTGCACCACGGCACTTACTAAGGTATTCACATCCTCATCAGTGAAATCGGGAGACAAGCCTATCCTCACTCGACTCTCCCATATTCCTACAGCTGGTTTGCTGATCGGAGGGCACACTAAACCAAGTTTGCGGAGTAGGTATGACAGCTCGGAAGCTCTGGTCGGGGCGCCTGTATGTACGGGAAGCATGGGAGTTTCGCCATCTCCGTATACATACACACCCTGAAGATCAAGCTCTTCGTGGCAAAATTCAGAGATACCTCGGAGTCTGGCGATGTTGTTTGCGAGATGCAGGGGCCTTTTCAAGGCCCAGAGGGCCTGCAGGATAGCTGCTGTAGGAAGCGATTCACATCTTTCGGCTAGTTTATCGTTTTGACAACGTAGAACCGCGTCGAAGCGCCTGGACGTACAAACAAAGCCGCCGATAGCCCCGACAGCCTTTGAAAAGGTTCCACTTCGGATATCTATAAGGTCTGCAGGAAGTTTCCTCGTAGGGTGTTTATCGTTCCAATACTCCAGGCATCCTCGACCCGTTCGCCCGACTGACAGGAATGAGTGGGCCTCATCGCAATAGAGGGTGAATTTGTAGCGTATTTTGAGCTCGTTAAGCGCCTCAAGAGGGGGCATAGTCCCGTCCATACTGGTTCATGTTAGATGCAGATATCGATAGTCTCAGTAGTAACAATCACCTGTATATGCCCTCTACGGCAACCATGATGTTCGAATACCTCCTCCCGGCTGTTCTGAGAATAGACTCCAGTTCTTCCATGTCGTTGTGCTTGAAGCGTTTCCGCATACCAGCTTCCGAGAGAAAAGATCCGACAAACATCGACTTGTGGCATTTCTCGTCCATTATGACCATCCAATCGTTTTGAATGATAGCGGGGAAGGCAAGGACATTGGCTCCGAAACCCGTGCTAGTGAGATGGCAGCAGTCATTGCCGAAGAAGGCAGCTATACTTCGAGACAATTCGCCTCGCAGCTCTTGTACGTCCCGAGCGCCACAGTGCGGTAACTGGTTCAGACATCTGCGTTGGAGTGCTTCGTACTCGACAGGCATCTTGTATAACCCAGCATAGTTGAAACTTCCGCCATCTAAAAACCAGAAATAGTGAATGTCAGGCAATGTTCTTCGTTAACAAAATTGTCTTCGCACTTGACTTACTAACACAACTATCTTGCTGGCCTAAGCTGTCTATCAAGCCGATTCGGCCCAACCCTGCTGTTATCACCACACGGTCGTTCAATCCGTACCAGCGATAGAACGGATCCACGACGTAATGGCTAAAGCGGGCATTGGCCGACAGAGCTTTGAATTGTTGTACACCATCTTGACTGCGAACCCAGATTTCGGATGAGGCGAATAGCATATACTCTCGTAGTTTTGCCAGTGTCCCAACCCGATTAGGGCAGGTTTCTCTTCGAAGTTTTTTGACCACCGAAATGTTCCAGTCTTTTTGCTTCTCAGACAGATCTGAAATTTTCGACTTTGATCTCTTACGATCTTCTTCCCTATCTTGTATTGTGAACATAGTCGGTATGGTCTCAGCTTGGCTGCGCGACATCTGGAGCCGACGTTAGAGGATGTTTCTCGGTTGAAGAATTGATATAAATGTTTGCGATGATTTGTCCAGTTGTGGTAGAAGGAAGGGAAAACAAGATAAGAGAGCTGTACAGATGTCAGCCTGGAGACAGTCATTGACAGAGTTCTTATATCGCCTTAAAGAAACATTTTACCAGGGCACGCTATCGGACGAGCAAAAGGATCGGCCATTTGCGCTGGCGAAAATAATGACTATTCAAAAGTGGGCTGCTATTGCCCACACAATAGTCGCATAATTCCTGTGACACGATACCACCAATAGGCCATGTTTGACTTCAAAGCGACCGCTGTAGTCACCACGCCTCTAGGCCTACACATCTGGATACTGCAGAGGGTTTGAAAATGCTGCTTAGTACGGGTCCCCTGTTATTTTCTTCCGATGAGAGAATCGCGCTCCATCCTAGGAGAATAGTTGTCTGTGTTGGAGTGCAGGGTAAGATCAGACGCAGATCCATCATTTCTTTCGGTAGAAGAAGACGACAGGGGGCCCATACTAGACAGCATTTACAAAACCCCTGTAGCTGGACTTCTGCGGTAGTCGCGGTTTGCGGTATGAATGGAATGCCGAGAAAATCTACAAATGAGCCATTTTCGACTTCAAGAAGGGTGATACATGTACGTCTCCAAACCGAAGATCTCGGGATACTGACTAAAGTCTAGCACATTGGAGGATTGCAGTATAAGTTACGTGTTAAGAAGATCTGCAATTGAGCCATTTTTCGCAATTCAGCAGTTCTCCGCAATTCAGCCCTTATCGTATTTCAGCAATTTTCCACATTCAGCCATTCTTCGTATCCAGCAATTTTCCGCAATTGAGCCATTTCCCGCATCTGAGCCATTTTCCGCAATCAGCAATTATCCGCAATTGAGCCATTTTCTACTTTAAGGAAGCCGGTACACCCACATCATGATCGTTTCGGATCACCGTATGCGGGATAATAGCTAAACTTGAGGGATGTTATAGGATTGTGGGATAAACCAGTTACTTAAGACTGTTATGGACGATCTTTATCAGTTGTCCTGTCGCGTTCAAATAGAACCAATTAAAGACACAATCGAAACCGCTCTAGGTCACTCTATTCTCAATCTCTCAAATCATTATAATATCTGTTCCAATTCTAGTATGATCCAAACTATGCTAGCTAGTCTCAACGGGCTGCAAGCGAGTGTTGCCATTTTCATATTCATTCTGATCTACTACAATCTTCGAAAATGGCAAATGTCAAGAAAGCTCAAGAGGCTTGGTGCAAGGGCGCCCGAAATCCAATCCTCTTGGCCGTTTGGTCAGTCCACCATAGACCAATAAAGCTGGTTAAGAATCGAAACTGACATCTGGGCATAGGCATTGATTTCATCTACAAATACGTGGTTGCTAGCGCCAATAATCAAGAGATCAGCTTTTTCGCCTCTTGCCTTGCGTCTGCTAGCTACAAGGACTCTTCCTCGACCATCTCGTCCTCGGGTACCAAAACCTCTACCTCAACCATTAAGGGCTCTTGTATGACTGCCCAGCTAAATAGTGGACTGTCTGGTCGTCTTGTTCTGACTGTCGATCCCTCCAACATCAAAACCCTTGTGAGCGAGATGTCCGATTATGGCAAGGGCGAACGGTTTCACAAAGTCTGGAAAGAATTCATTGGCGACAGTATCTTCGCCATTGACGGTGAGCTATGGGGAAAGACAAGAACCAAGATGAAGCCCATATTTTTCAAAGAAAATGTAGTCGACACAGCGATATTTGAGGGCCACGTAGCCCAGTTGATAGATATTCTAGACGAACGAGGTGATCGATCAGAAAGCCCAGATTTGTTGAACGTCTTCTTAAGGTATACGTTTGACGTAGCGACAGACTTCCTCTTCTCAGAAGCAACGAATTGTTTGAAATTCCCCCAGTTGAGAGTGGCGGAAGCATTCAAGTATATCCTTCAGAGGCAGAGTGACCTTGACAACATGGAGTAAGTACTTTTATCTCTCATCTTGCCAAGGCCTGATCCACTCCATATTATTCTCATAAGCTGTTTGCTGATAACAGACAGCGAATTCTCCTGGCTTCTCTCCCGCACGAAATTCCGTCAAGAGTTGAAGGTTTTGGACGATTTTGTCTATCCTTACATCTACAAGTCTCTAGCCTTGACGTCCGATCAACTCCAATCCAAACTCTCGTCTCGCGATAACCTCCTCGACTCTCTCGCACTCCACACTCGCGATGCCAAATTCCTGCGCGACCAAATGATCACCATACTCGTTGCCGGCCGTGACACCACGGCTGTAACACTCTCTTTCCTGTTCTTTGAGTTGAGCCGAAACCCTGTTGTTCTCGAGACGCTAAAAAAGGAAATTGTGGATAAAATTGGAGAGGGAGATGCAGCAACTACGCCCAGCGTCAAAGATCTGCAAGAAATGAAGATGTTGAACGCAGTCATTGACGAGACGTTTCGTTTCTACCCTCCAGTCCCGCTCAATTTCAGGTGTGCTTTGAGAGACACAACATTACCAAGAGGAGGAGGGGAAGATGGAATGCAGCCGATTGGTGTCCTGAAGGGTACAAAGGTGCTATTTTCAATCATGTTGGTACATAAAAATCCCGATCTATATCCCGCGATAGAGGGGAAGAGGTTTCACGACCCAAACAAGTGGATACCAGCAAGATGGCTGGATGCTGATGAAGGAAGGAAATGTTGGACACCAGAGCTTTGGAACTTCTTGCCATTCCATCATGGAAAGAGAGCCTGCCCCGGCCAAAAGTTTGCGCAGGTCGAGATTGCCTACACAGTGGCTAGGATTTTGCAGACATATAAGACAATCAAGATTATGGGCTGGGATCAGGCAGATAGTAAGGGAAGGGATTTGGAGTGCAGAGTCGCGGTTACGATGAGTCCAGCTGAGGAACTCAAGTATGTATTCGCGAGATGATAAATTCTAGCCTTGAAGATATATTGCCAACCAACATGGTTAGATCCTTACGTCTTGTAACGGTTCCTTAGAAGTCGATCTCCTATTGCGTGTCATTCTCGGCCTGTGCACCATTAAATAGTGTGAGGCATAAAATCACCTATGTCTTCGTGGAGAAACGGGTTAAGAAAGACACAAAGTACTACAGTACGTACGTCCGATAAGTTGTCCGGTTCGTCTAGGAATTAAGCTTAATAGCTCCCTTACTTAATAATACAGCTATTCGATAGAATAGCACTACCCCACCAATTCACGGCGCCACACATCACAAGAACGAAAAAGCAAGGCAAAGACCACTTCAGGATGCGTCAACCCAGTAGTTTGACATTGCAAAGAAGAAAAGTTACGCCAGTAGGTAGCCTACGACTATAACCCATTACGAAATGTTATTACTCATCGGGATATTTCAATCCGTCTATGCATCAAGTGTGAAACGCCAACCCCCAATAACCTCCTACACATGAGAAAGAGAAAGTGGGAAAAAGGCGATATTGCCTGATCTTTTGGAAGCCTGAACCTCAAACGCCATACCATGCAATGCGACAAAAGAGACAAAGGAGATAGGTTTTGAGAAAACGAATGGATACCGCGTTGGCGGTGATTGCGTCGAACTTTCGTCGCACAAAAGCAGTATGAGTAATTCCTTGGGATGCAGAGTGACAAACGCCTCAGAGCACGCGCTGCGTGTCTGTAGCGTTTGATCTCCAGCTTCAGCTTGGTAGAATATACTGATGGCTTCAATTAGTCCATGTTCTGATGATATAACGGTATTGCTTACTGTTGATGAACCCCATCATACCGCCTTCATCGCATGGGCAACCAATATAGGAACCAAAAGCACAGTGACAAGGCCAACATTAACGGCGATACCAGCGATGAGTGCTGTTCTCTTCGACTGCGGCGTGACGTGGCCAAGGCGACCTCCTGTAACCGAAGCGATGATGTTGTCTCCTAGGAAGCGAAAGAGAAGGATGGTGGGCGGCAGAAGGCAGAATGCTCCAAGAATTATCCATGACAATTTGCGTCGCCGTGCCTCATCAGCAGGATTGGTATCGCGCTCTATACAGAGGAGATGAGGCGAATGCTCTTGAACAAGCAGGCTTCGTGCAGGAGGAGAATGTATATCGAGGCTTGGGTGTGAAGGACGTAGCGGAGTGCTCGTGTCACTAGTCGATGGACGGTCGCTTCCGCTCATGACCCGTGTAATATGAGCACCATGAGTCGAAGTAGTCGATCGAATGTCTGGAGCAAGAAACATGTGCCGGAGCTTCGTCTGTCCTGGCACAGCAGACCGGCTCGTGCGACGCTGTGAACGTAGGAATGTGGTAGAGCTGCGCATATGCTGGCGGGAACCTGGATTCGGAGACTTTTCCTGAGTTGTGCTTAGACCCTTTGGTGTAGGGGAGAAAGACGTCTCAGACGATATTCTAATATGCTCTGGTGTGCTCTGTGGCAGAGTTTGACTGATGCGAGTGACGCTGCCTGTAGCGGGGAACGGCGATGCATAGAACCCGTTGTAGTCTGAACGGGTGCTCTGACGACCGACGCTTGAACTCAGCTTCACACCTGGGCTGCTAGTATCCGCAATGCTGCTACCAGCCTCGTGCATGCCTGTACCTCTAGGAGTACCAGTGAGATTGCCTTTTGGGCCGACAATTGAAAACTTCTCAAACGTGTTCTCGCGTTCGAGGCCTACAGGGCTGCTTTCAAAGGAACTCTCATCTGCAGTGCTTGATGTCGCTACGGTATCGTCGCTTTGAGATCGCTGATCCCTACGCGCCTGGTGCTTGGGTGCGACACTCTGCTGGTCGACAATAATATTATCATTGGGACCGGAAGCCAGCAGCTCTTGGGTCTCTTTGTCGCTAAAGGCGTATCGGTCTGCCCAAGGAGCAAATGCATAAGGCTGCTCGACAGCACCACGTCCCAAAACATCTTCGGGGTGTGTAGACAAATGAAGCACAGGTGTGGTTCTCGAAACGGGTGCGCTAATAGCCATTGGAGAAGACGACACATTCGGTGCGGTACGAATGATAGCGCGAGGCCTCAATTCCGGTGGCGAAGAGCTGAAATGGTGATGTTGTTCGGTGCGTTTCGGACTTAGATGGTTGTAGTAATCTGATCGAGCCGGAGAAACGGCCTGATTAGCCCAGGAAGGAAGTGACCTCTCCGAGGTTAGACCAAGGCTGTTACGAGTGCCCTCACTGCTGCTGTAGTCCGCAATGCTGTCCATTGACTCACGAGCTTTTGAACCAGGGCTGTCTCCGCCAACAGTCTCCCAGTCAGCTTTCTCCTCTGCTGTAGCTCCACCTTCGCCTGTGAAAGGATTCTCAACGTCTTGGGGGGCGCCAGACGACCTATTTGTCAACGTCTTGATTAGCAAGAGGCTCGCTGAGTTGCGCCTAGCCCACATCGCGGGTATCTTGCTACTGCTCTGGTGCTTGTCGACAGTGTCTTGAAAAATTTGTTCGGCCTGATCGAGTGCCTCTTTGGGGGTGCTTGGGCTTTGCGCACTCTCAGCTTGCGAATATGAAGACGAAGGCTCAAGCGGTTTGACTTCTGGTTGGGAGTAGGACGAGGACGGCTCCAAGATATGTGTGGCAACAAGTTTGACTGGGGTATTGGACGGTGATATCTGCAACAGCTCCCGCGTATTGCCATACGAATAGCCGGAGCTTTGTGAGAGAAGACCAGACTGCCCGGGATAAGACGGGATGAATAATGCATCATCATACTCAAACGGTGGCGCGAGAGGAGCCGCCCTATGAGGAGGTAAGCCGGGGTGTTGAGTAAAAGTAGGCCGCCTAGAGACAACGCGCTCAACCGGAGAAATGATGTTATCGTAATGGGGTGTAACAAACCGACGGACATCTGGCTCGACCATTGTCTGATGGACATGAGCGACGGCTGCACGGTTCACAAAAGGGTGTGAACCCGATTCGTTATGGCCTCCTACGTCTGTGTTTTCTTCGTGGGGCGTAGGCAAAGTCGTGTCTGTTGTTTCATTGGGGTTGTACTCGTCGATAAGTTTACTGATTGTGTCCGCTTTCGGATCCCCTTCCTCAACTGAACGCTGGTATGCCTCTTGGGCAAACATGTGCAACATCTGGCGGTCAACCCTATTAGAGCTGCTGTAATCGTACAGGCTGTCATGGTTGTTTCCATTCACAAAATTGTTTGTGTTCGCATTGCTATACCGAGCCAATTGATTGCCATGACTATTGCGTGTGCTTGCGGAATCCTGCTGGTAGTGCGATCTGTGCCGGTTATCTCCAGTGTAGATGGATGAGCTCGGGTATATTGAGTCGAGGTCGTCGTAGTAGGGTTTCGCAAAGCCGCCTTCTACAGAATATGGCAATTGGGAGTCGTCTATCCGCCCGATCTGGGTAGATGGTTCATCTGGTATCATGGACGAGAGTGGCTCGACCTCGACTTCATCCTCTTCGTCCATTTGCGCAATTTCCATTCCGTTCTGCTCGGGTGAGAATGCGTGGAAGCTTTGGAGAGAAGCAGGGCTGACGGGTGTCATTGGGGACATTGGACCGACTGGGAAGTACGAGGTCTCTGGCGTAGTGACATATGTTTGGTCCAGCGGGCGTGGGTACTCTCCATTCTTACTTATTGACGCCCTGCTGATGTTTTGGTCACGCATGTCCCGCAGCTCCTCACATTGTATCTTTACGGGCGTCTTTCCCAGCCTTTTGGTGAGACTGCGAGTCAATTCTTTCAAAGAAAAACGCGACAGGCGGGCTGATGACCTGGCGGGTAACGGGGGAAGCGCATTATCGGATTCCGGACTATAGAGTGGGGAAGTGTATGATGACGAATTGGCGCTCACAGCAGCGGGTGTTGGTGGAAGCGGGAGATCGGCGTTGGACTGTCTGGGAGAGTCTTCGGGACGTCTCAGAATACCTGCATGTGCTGCACGGAAGTCACCGTACACAGCTCGTTTGGGCGCCATCTAGTTGTTTGTTAGCCAATATCAACAGTGGCAATGAGACTCAGTACCTCGGAGTAAGCGTCTTCAGAGGTCCGCAGGGGGAGATAGTCACTCGAATCAAAATCTCGTGAGGGTGTGACGATGTCGTGCAGTAACAGCGAATCATGAGGGTTTACCACGTCGAACGATGCGCCACGATAATGGATAGTTGCGGGAGTTGCAGGCGGTGTCGCAGGCGCAGTCGTCGGGTAGTTCTGTGGGTTTATGCGGGTGGGCTCTCCTTCATTATGGGATGGAGATAGCGGCGGGTTTACCTGGCGGGGCGGCTGCGGGAATCGGGACACTGAAAATGTCGAGGGTGTAGATGTGGTTTGGGCTTCCCTTGAGTTTGTGCGCTCAGCGGACGAGAAGCTCAAGGCAGCGGGTGGAGACGAGCGCCGTGGTTGGGCAGAGTGTAGGTTTGCAAGCGGGGGAGGCAGAGATGCAGGGTCTCTGTTGACAAGCGGCTTTGGCAGTCTCTTTCTCGAGTTGAAGTAACGAACCTTACTAACCGAATTGGTAGTTGAAATGCTCGATACGCTACCTGTTTTCGCAAACGGCACTGCGGATTGCGATCGAAGCGGCCAATCAAGCAGCGGCAGTTGCTCGAAATGCGGCTCGTTTGACTTGAGCTGATAAGCTGATTGCGAAAAGTGAAGAGGACGTAGTGATGGGGCAGATTCTGAACGCTCTGGAGGAGCTACAGAAGGCACGCGTTCGATGTTACTCAAGGTAGACGCTGCAGGCTTTCTCCGGAGAGTTTTTCCTGGTGGTGTTCCCTTTCGCAGAAGCGTGGGCGTGTGTTGCTGCTTGCGATACTCGTGGATGGTGAGGAAGTGAACGGGAGTTCGGGAGGAAGCAGAAGATGTCACCGAATGGTGTGGAGAGTGGACAGGTGTCATAGGATTGCCAGCATGCATTCGCAGTGACATCCGATCAGGGACTTTGGGTGACAGCGAGCGGGGGCGGAATGCCGCCATATTCAAATCGTCCATGGAATCCATTCGATGCCACAGACCGGTTGTGGTGTTCTAGCTACCCAACCGCCTATCACCGATAAGGTGGCGACCGTCTCCGGGCTTTGGGTTCGTTGTTTTGCTTCAAAATGGGACGTGATGAGAGCTCTAGCGGATGCATGGCGACATGTATGCCATTGAATTGGTTGGTACAGGGCAGATCCAGTAGCTAGAGACTCTGGTCAGCAGTCGTCCCTGCTACACGCGGTGAACCTGCTAACCTCAGCAGCCTCTGGATGTCACCCTCGTCACCGAACTGATTCTGTATGTTCTTTCCTTAACCGGATAAGGAAAGGCAACAATAGAGTATCCCGAAACTTAGTAGTGGTACTCGTAGTTGTCTGGGGCTTATTAGGATGGAACGACGTCAGATGTATCGAGGATGCGGGACCCGGGATCGGCAGCGAAAGTAAGAACGTGGGAAATTACGATTAGAAGCGATAGATGAAAGACGAAGCTACGGAGTCTACCCGCTGATGAAAAGAAAAAGAAGGAACGTTGCGCGATGGCCTAAGACGCGATAGACTGAGGAAGGCACAATGGTCTCTCACTGAGTACCTGGGAAGGAAAGACGATGACGGCTGAAAAAACATCAAAAGGATCATTCTACCAAGAAAATACACAGCCAACCCGAGCAGTGGGGGCTACAAAGGCCCTCGACGCCTCAGCAGGCCACACATTTAGTCGCATTCTGCCTTTGTTGCCAGGCTTCATTACACCTACCGCGTCGTTGTGTGTGAGCAAAGAGCGATGCGGCCCCGTGGGTGGTGGGAAGCCTGCGAAGCTTGCAGGGGCGTGCTTTCCCCGCCAACCAGTCAAACCTCACATACGCATCGAACACCGATACACAAGACGCGACCGCGCTGCGGCGAGAGAGAAGCGTCTACCACTTGATGCCTCCCGAGGATAGCTGCTCGTACCCGTCATTTCGTTTCAAAGCACAGCTGTGGAAGCTATGGGAGAGAAGCGCGCCCAATCAGTCGCTGCCGGCCCATTGCCTCCTCCTGCCACGGTCCGGCATGGCGCCATGGGAGATGAGTGTTAGTCTCAGCTCATCACGCGATCAAAAGATCGGGATATTTATTGGAAGAGTATGTGGAGTATCGATGATGAGGGTTGCGTGGCCGTCGACTTTACTCGCCCTGAGGATGCATCTTGCGCCATTGTGGCAATCAGCTGGGCGCACAGCCGAGCCCTCGGTGCCCTGCGAACTGCATGTTCGTCCGCTGCCAATGGCAAGGCTGCCATCTGCCAGGTATAAATTAATACACCACTGTCCTGGTAGGCACGAGGTATGTAGATCGACAGCAGTGATATCATTATATATGCGTTGCGTGCATATCCCGCAGCGCGGCAGCACTAATCTTACAACATGTTCCCTGGGTCTATCCACCCTTCAACTTCCCCCCTCCATCTTCAAGTTCATCTCGAGCCGCTTCGTGCAAAGCCTGGCTTGCGCCGTACTCTTTCAGTCCCGTTCGTGATTTTCTCCGTCGAATCGACGGGTACCGTACTGGCTCCATACTGCTCTGTGCAAATGAGAATCGGTGCGGGCCAAAGGCATGAGGGTATTGATGTTCTAACACCACGCGGATGACGTTCTCGGGCGCCCAACTATGTCGCTCCTGTTGGCTTGGAGGCTGATTAGGTGACTTGCCCTTGTCTGAAGACAAGCCAGGACCCTTGGTTACAGCAGATGCGGAGGAGGCCTCGATGGCTTTGAAGTCATTAACCGACTGGTAATCTATGAGATTCGGATTCTTAATTTGTCCTTCCCGCGTACCCTGCAATCATTAGAATGGGTTGATTTAATCGCCACAAAACTTACAGTGGTTGGATACACAGTGCCCGGCATCATCACATATTCGTCCAGCGTATGCATCAAATTTGCAAAGTTGAAGCCTCGCCCTGGCTGACAAGGCAGGAAACGTTGCCCGATGTCATCATTGAAGTTGAGCGTACAGTCTTGCGTCGGCATGTACTTGGATAGGTTGGTGTACCACTGAGGATATGTGCCATACCAGGCTCCAACATCCGCATCCAGGTCCACTGACAGGTACATGTTCTTGCAATTCTCCGGCTTCTGTACCAGCAGCACAAAATCAAATTCGCGCGGTAGTCCTGATTTTTGAAGCACGTTTTCATGCAGTGTCCAGACAGCCTTTGCATCCTCTGCATCGTATTCGGGGCCTAGTGGGCTCTGTTTTGACCGCACTGACCCCTGGATGCTCATCATGTGAAAGACCTTGTAGCTACTTGCCATGGCTGCTTTCGGATTCAGTGTAGCAGATACGGGTGCCTGAGATACGCCTAGCGAACTTGACAAGCTGAAGTTCCATTGAAGGTTCTCTGGCGAAACCGCACCAAACATCAGCTCGGGAGCGTGCTTCAAAATCCGAGGATGTGAGTCGCCTGGTCTTTTCTTCTCGTCAGGGCCTCCATCGTCGCCATGGACAGACACTTGGATCTCGGCGCTCTTGAAGCGATGCGCGTTCGGGTCATGAGGATGAAAAACAAAGTGTACAGAAACGAAGAACAAATTGTCGATGACGGGCTCGTGCAGCGCGTCGGACCTGTAAAAGCCATGTTGTAGGCGATTAACGTGGGCAGATATATACGCCTTGCCAGGCAAACGACGTTCGTAAAGACATTTCTGGTTTATCTGCAGGCGTTTCCTTGGGACGTTGGGGTCTTTGGGTCGAGGCTTCGCTCTGCTCCTCTTGGGAGGCGGACCCAGTTGTTGCTGCTGGAGCGTCTCGTCATCGTCTTTTCCTCTCAAGTGCTGCAACAGAGAGTGCATTGTAAGTTGCAGGTAACGGGCGAATCTCCTCTTGTGGCATCACGGATATGCGACGTTCAACGATGTCATGACGCAGCCTGCTTGAGGAGAGAAAAGGTAGCTGAAGATTGAGAAGCCATGATGCCGATACGATACTAAGCAATGGAAAAGACCTAGGAAACGATGAAGTCAAGACCGGACTGAAGAATATGAGACATCGCAACCCAGACAGATGGCGGCACATGACTAGATGAGGCGTAGATCGACATGCTCAACTGCTAAAACCAACGACCAGTATGTCATGCCGCACTTGGTTCCCTCAGAGCCGTGGCACGCGGAGGTCTGGTATGTCTGTTTGGCTCATAACAGGCACGACGACCTGATTGCGCACGAGACAGGTCAAGGTGAAGGTCACGCACAGACGAACGATCCGGCCAGTTCCTTAGTTATCAGTACGCGTCTTTATCGTACCGTAGCCGAACACGACCCCGCAGCATACCGGCATAGCGGCAGAATATGGCAGATATACCGTACAGTCTAAAGCAGATGCGTCTGTTGTGTTTCCTTTTGCTCGCTTGTGATCTTGTACCATGCAGTTGGTCCCCAGGGAGGTGTGTTCTAGTGGTGCATCTCGAATTATTGTGGCCTACTAACCTGGCAACAGCTAGACAAGCTCGTCATCTCGCAGCTGGGCTTGCTCGCGCAACGACGACTGGCCCGCGGCGTGAAGCTCAACCATGCCGAAGCAACCGTATGTCACAGCAGAAGTCGCATAGATGCCGCTAATAGCCATAGGCGTTGATCGCGAATAACCTCCAGGAAGTACGAGCTCTGCCCGCGCGCCTCCGGTCGCATGCTGAACGCGAATAGCTTATTCGGGATGGAAACCACACAGTCGCGGACCTCATGGCTATTGGCAAGACCATGCTGGGTCGTCGCCATGTGCAGCCCGCCGTCGTCGCTTCTCTCTCAGAGTTGATGGTAGAAGGCACCTTCCCCACCGGCACATACCTCGTCACAGTCCACCATCCCATTTCTACCGACGATGGAGACCTTGCGAAAGCCCTATATGGATCGTTCCTACCTGTCCCGTCCAATGATATGTTTCCTTTACCCGATGCAGACGTATACGAAGGCACGAGGCAACCGGGCGCTATCATAGCTGTCAAGGGAGAGGCAGGAACTATCAAGTTGAACGAGGGGCGCAAGAGGATCAAACTCAACGTTAAGAGCATGGGAGACAGACCAATCCAGGTATGTAGGAACCAAGGGAATCCGAGCGTGCAGCTTATATATAATAGGTCGGATCGCATTACCACTTCATCGAGACAAACCCGCAACTGCAATTCGACCGCGTACGAGCGCATGGCTACCGACTTGACATCCCCGCTGGCACGTCGGTGCGCTTCGAGCCGGGCGACACGAAGACGGTTACCTTGGTACAGATTGCGGGCAACCAAATAATCAAGGGTGGAAACAATATCGCATCCGGCTTCATCGGGGACATGAAGGTCATCAACGGTATCGTCGAGAGGTTGCAGGCTGGAGGATTTCTCCATCAACCGGAACCAGAGGGTGATGGTGCACATATCGACATTTGCACAATGGAGCGACGGGCTTATATTACCATGTTCGGCCCGACGACCGGCGACCTGATAAGACTCGGTGCCACGGACCTCTGGATCAAGGTTGAGAAAGACATGACCAAGTATGGCGATGAATGTTCTTTTGGCGGAGGGAAAACGCTAAGAGAAGGCATGGGTCAAGCAGGAGGACGATCGGATAAAGATTCACTTGATACGGTCATCACTAACGCCCTGATTATCGACTGGACTGGCATTTACAAGGCCGATATTGGAATCAAGGATGGCATCATTGTCGGTATTGGCAAAGCAGGTAGCCCAGATGTCATGGATGGCGTGGATCCGAAATTGGTCGTAGGCTCCTGCACCGATGTCATTGCCGGTGAACACAAGATTGTGACACCAGGTGGCTTCGATACCCATATTCATTTCATTCTGTCCTCAGCAGTCTTTTGAAATCATAGTATCTTGTATTAGGGCCAAGCTTGGAAGGGCGGCCCAGGGCCCAGTCCCGGCACCAACGCAACAACATGCCCCCCCGGCAAAAACTCACATCAAGCAGATGCTCCAAGCCATTGACAGTCTTCCCCTCAACTACGGCATTACCGGCAAAGGTAACGACTCTGACATCCGGCCCCTGCAGCAACAAGCCGAAGCCGGTGTCTGTGGCCTCAAACTACACGAAGACTGGGGTACCACCCCTTCCGCCATCGACGCCTGCCTCACTGTCTGCGACGAGTACGACATTCAAACCCTAATCCACACCGACACGCTCAACGAATCCGGCTTCGTAGGATCCACAATCGCGGCCTTCAAAAACCGCACAATCCACACCTACCACACCGAAGGCGCCGGCGGCGGCCACGCCCCAGACATCATCTCCGTCGTCGAACACGACAACGTGCTCCCTTCCTCCACTAATCCCACCAGACCCTACACCCGCAACACGCTCGACGAGCACCTCGACATGCTCATGGTATGCCACCACCTCTCACGCAATATCCCCGAAGACATAGCCTTTGCCGAATCCCGCATCCGTGCCGAAACAATCGCCGCTGAGGATGTCCTGCACGATCTCGGCGCCATATCCATGATGTCGAGCGACTCGCAGGCCATGGGCCGCTGCGGCGAAGTCATTCTCCGCACGTGGAATACCGCACACAAGAATAAAGTGCAACGCGGTACGCTAGCCGAGGACGAAGGTACAGGCGCGGATAACTTCAGGGTGAAGCGGTATATCAGCAAATATACGATTAATCCAGCGATAGCGCAAGGAATGAGCCATCTAATCGGCAGTATCGAGGTGGGTAAGGTAGCGGATCTTGTTCTTTGGACACCGAGGAACTTTGGTGTTAAACCGAGTTTGGTTGTTAAGAGTGGATTTTGCTCTTGGGCTATGATGGTATGTCTTCTCCATTCCTCCCTCTTCTTTCTCCTGTAGACCCCCATGCTCTTAATTCCCGCGTAACTCAATGACTAACACACCCACCCCCACAGGGCGACCCCAATGCCTCCATCCCAACCGTCGAACCCATCATCATGCGCCCCATGTTCGCCCCTCTCGTCCCTTCCACCAGCATAACCTTTGTCTCGCAAGCTTCCATCGCCTCGGGCGTCGTAAACTCGTACGGCCTACGCAAGCGCGTGGAGGCCGTCAAGAATTGCAGGAATATAGGGAAGAGGGATATGAAGTTTAATGACAAGAGGCCGAAGATGAAGGTCGATCCCGAGAGGTATACGGTTGAGGCTGATGGCATGGTTTGTGAGGCTGAGCCTGCAGAGACGTTGCCGTTGACGCAGGGGTATTTTGTGTATTAGGCGGATGTGGGGATGAGGGGAGGATGGGGGAGGGTTAAATTGAGATGAATCGAGTTGGCGTTTGGGTGCTTGTGTGTGTGGTTTTTCTTTTGGTATATTTATGCGTGGAATGAGTATAAGGAATGATGTCACAATGTCTGATTATGAAGATGTCCACCCGGGTGGCATGAGATACTTGACTATATGGGCATGCATCTAGTAGGCGTGCTTGGCGACTACAGTGGCCTTTGTACACAGATATTCCATGTATTTTATGACACACAGGTGCCGTGGAATATCCTGATTAGCCTTCTTATGACA